TTTCATTTCATAATTTTGCCGGGGCTGCGGGGATACGCCATCTCCTGATGACTGTTGTTAACCTTTGCAAAAGATCTGTGGAGATTTTTGGGATTATTTCATGAACGATCATTCCAGCTTCACTGCTATTGTAACCAGTCTGCCCCTCATCAATTTCATGGTAATCTCACAGCAGTTCTCATACAGTCTCTCATTTGCAGTCAGTTCAAAAAAATCTGAGCAATATTTATTTTCTTTGAATGTTTTTACTTCTGATTCATTGTCAGTTTTTCTCTGATGCGCATTTACGATAGATACCTTCTCGCCAGAGTCAGGTCATGCACTAACGGAGATGTGGGCAAAGTCTTTTGTGCTCATAGCTGTAATTTTCATATCTCTGTAGCCTCTTTTCAAAACGGCGAGAACAGTGACAGCTTGTGAGTGACAGCAATAGGACGCGAGTGGGAGGATGCAGAAAACAACTCATGAGCTGAATCTGGATATCGCTCCCTCGAAATAAGACCCAGGAATATGGCATTTCAATAATTCACTTTTATGTGACACACAATAAACGCATAACACACTTTCATAAGATTGACTACAAAACAAAGCACAGATAAGGTCAAATTCACGTACAGAATCACAAACTCGCAGCCATGGAAATAAAGTCTAGTACACATGCTAAATATGGGTAAATGATGTACGAAAAGTTGCAGCTCCAAATGGAAGCACAAAGGATAGGATGAAGGCGTAAAATATTAAGACTTAAATACAAGTGCAACATAAAAGTACAACATGAAAGGAAGACAAGATTGAGTCTAATGGTCTGAAATCCATTTTTGTTGTATAACCGCAGCTCATAAAATCCCCATTTATAGGATAACTCTAATTATCACTCATTGGTCCTCATAGAATTCCTATAAATACCACTCTTCACAGCAGCTATCACTTATCTCCCAGGGGCTGGCAATCGAGCATAATGTTTTGGGAACTGAGCCTGTAAATCAAAGGATGTGGGTTTGATTCCCGGCTGGGCTTCTGTTTTAGTACCCTTGAGCAAACCACTTAACTGGAATGACTTCAGTGAAATATCCAGCTGTATACATTGATTCTATGTAAAGTGTTCGCTGGGTAAGAGCTGCAGACAAATGCCTGAAGTGTTAACCCTTTAAAGACAGCCCGTTTTATTTTTGATGTCTTTTTGATGTTCCCAAATGAAAGGCTTTTAACGGACAAATTGTATGGCCAAAATGCAGTCATAAAGCTTCGTTTGAGGACAAGATATCGCTCTTGTTTCTGGAATGTAATCATGTGGTATACGGCTAAAACACAAGATACACAACGTGAGCTCAAACAAAAAGCTATTTATTTATTTATTTATTTATTTATTTATCTATCTATCTATCTCTGGGTATGTCGGAGGTCTGGTGGGCTCTATCAAGTTAATGTAAATCTGACAGAGATCATTGCTTTCTCATAGATGATTTCATAAACATCTCTTCCTGGTCTCTCTCTCTCTCTCTCTCTCTTTGGCATCTTTGAACTGCACGTCTCTAGTGACATACTGTACAATGCTCTAATACAGGGGTCCTCAATCTTACCCGGAAGGGGCCGGTGTGGGTGCAGGCTTTCATTCCAACCAAGTACTTACACACCTGATACTACGAAACAAGGACTTTAGCAAAGGCTCTAAGGGCTGATTAGTCGAATCGGGTGTGTAACTGCTTGGTTGGAATGAAAGCCTGCACCCACACTGGCCCTTTCTGGATAAAACTGAGGACCCCTGCTCTAATACTTCTCGTTCCTCTTCTGGTTTCCCTCTGTGAGTTTACTGCGTGTCCTATTGGTCTCTCACTGCTCTGTCACAGTCTAGTGTACAGTTTTCATATTGGTCTCTTTCAAGTTTTTCCAGTAAATTCTGTCACTACAAATACAGAAAGTTATTGTACTAGGACTGCTGAAAGACAGTTTTAATTAACATGTGATGTGCTGTAGACAATTGTCCTTCTGTGGTGGGTCAGAGAAGCTCTTAATCTGATTTGGCAAAATCGCCCATTGGTCTCTATATGTTCTCTTCCAGTCATCCTTTCAGGTTTCTCAAGTCTCCTATTGGTCCCTCTATGATCTCTCTGTCTCCACTTGGTCCGTCGCAGATGTCTCTGTCTCCGATTGGTCCCTCAGTGATCTTTCTCAGTCTGACTGGTCCCTCACTGATCTCTCTCGGTCTTCGATTAGTCCCTCGCTAATCTCTGTCAATTTACCATTGGTCCCTCACTAATCTCTGTCAATTTACGACTGGTTCCTTACTCATCTCTTTGTCTCCGATCATTTCCTCACTGTTCCCTCTCAGTCTCTAATTGGTGCCTCACTGATCGCTCGGTCTCCGATTGGTCCCTCTCTGTCTCTGATTGGTCCCTCACTGATCACTTGGTCTCCAATTGGTCCCTTGCTGATCTCTCACAGTCTCTGATTGGTCTCCCAGTTTCCTATTTGTGTGTGTCTGGTCCTTCATACCTCTGCACTCTGCTCTTCCTCTCAGGCCTGGCTGACGGAGATCCACGAATACGCTCAGCAGGATGTGGTGCTGATGCTGCTTGGCAACAAGGTGAGAGGCATGCTGGGATATTCCCTCGCTGCAGATGGAGGTGTGGAGGGTTCACGCATGGGTGGGCATGCACGAGTTTATTATAGATATTAGCGAGGTATGGATAGCACAGTGGGTGGATGGAGTCATGGGATGACAGCTGTGTTATGGGTAGGCATGCATGGTGACTGGCACCAGTGATTAATACAGATTAAACGAGGAAGGCGGTCAAAAAATATGAGGTGGGTAGGTTACGCTAACAAAAATAAACAGAGAGCATGTCCTGTCATGATTACACCAGTATTTCAATGAGGTCTGTAAGTGTTCGAACCATTTTTGCCAAAGAAAACAAAGCACTAGATAAAAATTTAAAGCAGAGAGTGACAGTTATAATTAGTCAATATGTACAAAGTACATCTATATTGTGTGCCCCATGTCAGAATTTCAGTCTTTAGTATTCAGTACCACAGTCCAAATAATTATGGACCTTTGCCGATAGCTTAATACACAAGAGCTGCATCTATCAGTGCCAGTGATCAGGCTTCAAAGCAAGAACTACTCTTTTTTTTTGTAATTCTGCACTGAGGCCTGGTGCCATTTGGGTTCACATGACCTGACAATTACTCACCCAGGTTAATTTCCTTGAGCACATTCAATCTCATACGGGAGGCTGTGCGCTTGGAAATGGAGGTGACAGATGGGATTGCGCTGAGAGTGCTCAGGGTCAGTTGCTGACCGTCTGCGCTTCATTTCAGGCCGACGCCACGCACGAGAGGGTGGTGAAGCGGGAGGAGGGGGAGAGGCTCGCTAAGGTGAGTTTGAAATGCAGCCATGAGATATGCAGTTCCATAGTTCACCACCAGGGGCAGAAGCACTCTCCAGAGTCAAAGTTATAGCAGTGGACAATCATAGAGCAGGACTTCAGAAACACAAAACTTGAGCCTTTTCCAAAAACAGCAAATTTGACTTTGAATGCTGACCTCAGTTGAGTACTCTTGATAACGATGCTGTTAAAAAGGTTTAATAGTTTTAATAGTATTTCTGAATGATAATCTGGTTGCCTCTGCCGCGACCTCCCTTGGACTTCCAAAATGTATGGTTTATTTGCTGAAAAGTGATTATAAGTACATTACATTGCAAGGGTATTTTGCCTACAGTGACTCCCTCTTGTCAATTAATAACTTTTTCATCTAATGTACTCAACTTATTATGGCAAAAGGTCTGTATTTGGGTAAGGTAGCTTGCAGTACGCATATAGTGGACACTGCAGAAGTTGGAAGGCCGTTTTAGGCACAGCCATGAGTTTCTCTCCATTTTGAGCCACATACCTTGTGTCACTATGGATGAAAAAGAAATTTTGGTTTAGAGTATGTAAGGATGATTGACAGCACTCAACTCCATGCATTCTTCTTCTCTCCGTCTTCCTAGTTCTTATCACTTCTTCACTGTTCACAAACTGAAGCAAAATACGAGGCAGGTTTTCCTCTCACGCTGATGCTGGCAAACTCATCAGTCAGACACAAAGTGGCTGAAATGGACTGAGCGTGTGCAAGCGGGACGATTTCATCTCTGTGAAAAAATTGTGTTTGCTGATTGCAAATTGAATGAAGCAGGGACTGGCACAATGCAGTCTGGGAGAGCTCCTGATGAATTTATTGTTTTGTTTTGGTAAACAATATTACAATCCACCCTTGAAGTGGAAAATTGTCATTTTTGCAAATGTATTAAGCTGGATTCTGTTCTATTTGATGAAGAAGGACTCATCTGAGATTGTTTTTTGCTGTGTCTTTCCTTCAATACATCTTATTTATGCATTTAGATGTTAATATACTGTAGTTGAAATATGCTTTATGTGAGTAATTAATAACAAATGAAGAAGGCGTTGAGTGATAAAGTGACTGCAGTGACTTGAGATATCTGCCAATATCACCCTAAATAATGACCTGTTGATAATCTTTCAGAATCTCATATATAGACTGAGCACCATAATTCAATGGACAGTGACCCATTTTTTTATTTTTACTATTTTGGTACTACTAACTGAGTCAATCCAATTTAAATCAAATTTAAGCATTTTACATAGAAAAAGGAATGAAGGCAATAAGCAGGAAGTGAAGATGGCTGCTGTACAAGCCTGGCAGGGCATCATAAGGGGAGATACCCAGTGTCTGGTGATGTCAATACGTCACAGACTTCAAGCAGTTATTGCTTGCAAAGGATATGCAACCAAGTGTTAAATCTCAAAACAGTTAATTTAATATGGATGAAAGCACCCAAAAATCAGAGCTGCACCTCAGTCTTATTGTCACTATGTCCTCTTAACTTCAAGAGCTAGAATACTGGACCAAAATAAGAAGTTGCCACTGTCCAATGAATGATGGAGCTCGCTGTATCTACCTCCCAGTTCAGGCAACCTGCTGGGACTGGGTCAACCTGCGACACGGTGGTGTAGTGGTTAGCACTGCTGTTTCACAGCAAGAGGGTCATGGGTTCGAATCCAGCCTGGGGCCTTTCTGTGTGGAGTTTGCATGTTATCCCTGTAATTGCGTGGGTTTCCTGGGTACTCTGGTTTCCCCCACCCACAAAAAACATGCATCATAGGAACACTCCAACCAGTACCCCTGACCAAGGAACTGGCTTTAGAACTGGATTTGGTCCCCGGAACCTGCTCTGTGGCTGCCCACTGCTCCTAACTATACGATGGGTCAAATGCCCCACGGGGCTCAATAAAGTGTATCTTATCTTATAACCTCGTTCCTTGCTTTACCTTGTCCCGGCAGGACTTTGGGGTGCCATTCATGGAGACCAGCGCTAAATCAGGCCTTAACGTGGAGCTTGCTTTCACCGGTGTTGCCAAGTGAGTATATATGGGCCTAAAGAAGGAAGCCCTGGGAAAGACAATGTGTGTCAAGCAGGGAGGCACTGATCTTGGAGCAGATTCCTGATTTTCAACTCAGTCTAACAGGCCAAATATTGGCACTTTCATTTCAAGAAACTTGTAGATACAGTATGGACCATGAGGAGAGCAGAACATGAGAAAACACCTTGGTTTAGCTATCAAATAGGATGCACTGTTAACACTGTCCTTATCACTGGCTTTGGTCTTGTGACTGACCTGCAGTCATGTTATTGCACATCTGGCACAGTAGGAGCCCATTGTCATCTTAAGGTTTTTTTGCAATTTTTTGGTTTGGTGCCACCTACTGGCAAATACTTGGCATTACTTGTTTTGGCATATAAGGGGTTAAGTGATGCCCCTGAATTAATTACACTCACTTCCATGTAAGTAAAGGAAAGTTGGAGATGCCAGCCGGCATATGCTTTTTGATTAACCAATTTCGGCAGACTTGACAGTTTTGATTTCAGTTCTTGGAAAAAAAAAAATGTTTATTTGTAACTTAAACCAAACCATCCGTTTGTTATCCTGGAAAGAGAACATCGCAACTTGACAATTTTTGCCAATCTGGAGTGTACTGAAACCCCAGAGGCGTCCTTGGAAATAGCTTGTAAGTCACTACAGGAGCTATTATAATGCTAATTTCACTCGGAGCTGCAAAAGAGCATTAGAACATCCTCCAGTGGACCCCAAATTATTACAAAATGACATGTCTTTCAGCAGATTCCAAAAGTGTTTTATAAGACCAGCCTAATTAGCTTTACTTCCTTTTCCCTCCATGGTTATTCAAAGTTTAAATGTGCTTTGGTAAATTTACTCTCACTGCTTGCCACCAAAGCAAAACAAGAATAAAAGTGCTAAGGATTATTCTCTGGGAGCCAGAACAAAACAATTGCAATGTTATTACAATGAAATACAGTAAAATCTGTTATGCGAGAGGATGCAAGTCATTGGGAATGTAGTTTTCATTATCGGTTTCAACACTCACTGTCCCCTCTCGGATCTGGCAGTTGTTAGCTGTACACTTCTTTTCTCTCTTAGAGAGGCCCAAATTCTGGAAAGATTGTCTTAATTTATGGAAGAGGCAAGTGATTCTCCACACATCGTACCTGTTGTTTACCTGCCTCTTTCTCGCTCTCCCTCCCCCATCCCTCTCTCTCCCATACACACTTCCTGTCTCTCACACGCTCTCCCTCTTTCTCCCCCTCTCCCACGCGCACTCTCTCCCTCACACACTTCCTCTCTCATACTCCCTCCCCTCTCTTACACCCTACCTCCCTCCCTCTCGCGCACTCTCTCCCCATTCCTCTCTCTCAGAGAGCTGAAGCACAGATCAATGAAGGAGCCCAGCGATCCCAAGTTTAAGCTGCAGGACTATGTCAACAAGGAAATGAAGAGCTCTGGGTGCTGCAGGTCCTAAATGGTCCTAAAGAACGAGCCAAAGCAGGAGGCTTCGAGTGTGTGTGTGTGTGTGTGTGTGTGTGTGTGTGTGTGAGTGAGTGTGTGTGCCCGCATGCGCATGTGTGTTTATGCATCTAAATGCATTTATGCCTGAGTTAGTGAGAATCAGTGTTTTTGAGTACTGAAGTTCTTGGAGGGGTTAGTTGTTCTGGTAACCTGCTAAAGTGCAGGTGTATGTCTGAGAGAGAGTCTCGGTGCAGTCGTGTGTATGTGTGTGTGTGAGATGGTGATGAAGAGTGAGTTGGTGTGTGACAGTGAGGGATAGGAAAGTGATTTCAGCGTGTCGCTCTCTATTGGGGATTGATTGGCTGGTTTAGTCAGTGGAGAGACACGAGTGTGACAACAGCTGTCAGTCACCATCTTGTGCGGAGAAGAACTCACCATGACGACACTGACCATCTCTCACTTTCCTCTGAGCCCTGTGACTGTGACTTCTTCCCTGCCCTGCCCCCTGACCCCACCCCTTTCCCATGACCCCACCTTCATGCCATCTTAGCTCCGCCCACCTCCCTCTACAGCTGTGAATGTATCCCTGATTGAAAAGCCTGTAAAACCCACCCTTAAACTCACTGTGTTACCACCCCCATCCAATGCTCAATTATCACCCGTGGATAAATACCTCAAATGGCATGACCCTCTGAATTACCCTGAAAAATACAGAATTACACACCCTTGAATTACCACGAAAATGGCAGAATTACTCACACCAGACTATGTTTCCTCTGTAGATAATTACCCTAAGTCAGTTTTCCTCCACAGCATCCAGTCTGGGCCAGCGTGGGTGCGGGCTTTTATTCCAGCCGAACAGCTGCACACCTGGAACTACCAATCAACCCCTAGATTTCCTGCTGGATAAGTAGAAACAGGTGTGTAACTGCTCGCTTGGAATGAAAGCCTGTACCCACACTGGCCCTTTCTGGATAAAGTTGAGAGCCCATACCCAAGACCATGGCTGCCCAGCCCTGTTCCTGGAATTCTACTGTCCTGTCGGTTTTCACATCAACCTAAAACAAAGCACACCGTGCTCAACAGCTGGAGGTGCTTTTACCCCCTTAAGAAGACTGCTGGCTTTCTTAGGCCCTGTCCACACGTACATGGGTATTTTTTGAAAACGTAGAATGCGCATCAGCCTTTCGTCCACACACAAACCGTGTTTTCTGTAACTGAAAACGGACCTTAATGAAAACGATTCCCAGGGTGAATATTTTTTTTGAAGTTTTCACTGTTTTCGTGTGGACAGGCAAAATGGTTTTTGGCCAGTGACATCAGTGTGTGCACCTTATAGCGAGTTTTTAAGGCTTGTGATTGGCCTATATAGTCAGACATGACATTATATTATCGCCGCCTGCTGGTTTGGCATGCTCTTGACGATGCTTTAATTGTATTTTTACCTCTTCGTGTGGACGTTTTCGGAAAACGAAGGAGGATGAACCCGTTTAATACAAACGTGTACGTGTGGACTAGGCCTCAGCTTATGGCTATAAACCCCAGAATTTGAGGTGGTACCTTAAATCTTGAATACCCCAGGCTGTTATCCTTATGTTTATATGCCCAAGACATTGTTATCTCAGCAGCCAAATGCCCCAAACTGTGATTTCAAGTTTATGTGCCACTGATTATTTTACCTCCAAATCCAAATACCCCAGGCCGTTAACTCTATCATGCTATCATACTGCCCCAATCCCATACAAGCTATCTTGTGACAGTGTTATACTAACAGCTTTGCAAAAGAAATGGGTTTGCTTGCAATTATCATCCGTCGCCTTCGTTCTTGTTGTATAGCTGGAGGGCGCTCAGAAGTCACACACACACACTGCACACCACGCGTAAGGCTGTAATGACTATTCAAAGTCCCATTTATGTCAGTGAAGTTCACTGTTGGTTTGTTTCCATGGTCAGTCTCTGAAGGCCACCATTTTCACCAGCTATAAGTCGTGAGTGACGTTCAGGGCTAGCTCTGCTCGATCTGCTAGCTCAGTCCCCAGTCACCTCTGTATGGAAAACTAAGGATAGAACACAGACCACCTCCTTTTTTTGGAGGTGCTTCTCCATTGTAAATGCTTTTTTTTAACATTGTTTTGAATAACATAACAAAGATAAAAGGAGTAGTTACACAGTAGTGCCGTTTCAAAAGCCAGCAAATGCACACAGTTTCAGGCCAAGACCATATCAGACCAGGGACAGGTGAATAACCTCATTACTATTCAGCAATATGGTGACTGCAGACCAGAGGGCGACTTTGCTCCCTTAAAAAGAAGGATGTGGGTTCACGTCCCACCAAGGGCAGTGTTTGTTGTAGCGTTTATTGTACTTCTAAACCAACATCGTGTCAGTCAGTTAGCAAGCACTGACACTGCTCTGAAGCCACCATACTGGCTCCTCTTTTCAAGGCAAAATTTGATTGCTTCTTCTGATCTCGTGATTGACATGCATGGGAGAGTACAAAGGCAAACAGAACAAAAATAATTGGTTGCACCGTCATTCAACTGAAGGCCGCCCAAGGCCAAATGTGCATATGAGATGAAGCCGGAGTGAGGCACCATTAACCAAGTACAGACTAGAACTGCATTCAGCCAATCACCAGCCAGCTGCTGTGAACCAATAAAATGACTGAGCTCATCAAGGGTTCGACAGCAGCAGCAGCATGAATTATCAGGTTTGGCATGAAAACACATATACTGTATAAACCAATGTATATTTCCAAACAGATTAAAAATAATTTCTTGCACCCCATATGCTGGGCCTCCTCAGGTCTGGCCTGGTACAAAATGTCCCAGTTGAGCCCCCCCCCCCACCCCCACCAGGTCAATAGCGTCCCTGAAACTGTGAGCCATTTGACATATTTTCACAGTCCACATACACGCATTGCAAAGTTAATAATGCCACACTCTCCCAGTATTACTGTTACTGTATACTGTACGCTTCTGAGAGTAAAAGGTCTCAAACCCAGTCAGCCCAGGTATTGACGCCCCCCCCCATAAAAACAATGTCTGCATTTCAATCAGTCCAGCAAGTGTAACAACGAAGTGAGATGAACAGAAGCCAAAGTCAGGAAGCTGGCAGTCACTCGTTTTCACTCCAAAACAGAAATTAAATAGTGAAATAAAAATGTACATATGAAATCATTATTTTGTACAGAGTATATAAACGTCT